ATCCCTTTCTTGTTGCTGTAGCTGAATAATGAAAACAGGGTCACAGGTTGCAAGGATACTGCTGCTATTCGGCCCAGATTTGAGTGTGGCTGTTGCATCCTAAATTAAGCTTTGGAAGGGCTTCATCTTGCAACATTTTTTTTAATAATAAAAGGATTTCCCATATTTTTAATGGCTGAAGAGGTACTTAGATTCTTGTGTAGGATCAGTCAGCAGCATTTAAAATGAACTAAAGTAATTTAATTTTTTTATGTATTGCAGTTAATGAAATTAGGTATTAGTAATTGAATGGAATCCCATTAACAATTGACTAACCAGGAAATTGACAATTGACCTAATTCAATATCAGTAATATAAACCTGAGTGCAATCCACGTGATAGTATGAAGCATGAGTTATACTTCCAGGAAATACCAATCTGCAATTGGAATTTTGGAATATTTATCCTGATAAAGTTCTACCATTTAATTTGTGTGGTAGAATAGTAACAATGCATAGCAAAGGTATATCTTTCATATAGTGACCAGTAGGAACTGTCACTAGTGAATATGATCTAAGTTAGATATAAACGCACCATTTTCGATGCTATTCTTCATCTAAACTAAGATCTAAATTATCTGCAGTAAAATATTTAGACCTGTAGCAAATCCTGCACTCTTCTCAGAATATAATGGCATAGAAGTGCTCTGACTTATAGGGCAAATAAAGAAGTGGATTTTAGAATAGACAAAAGTCCAGAAACAATACAGTAAAATTCACACCTCCAAAAATTTATTGAGTAGTAAAACAGAAAAAAATCTTCTGAAGAAGAAAAATTCCATGAGCTTGTAGAAAAGCACTGAACTAGTGCATGCTGGAGCTGGAAACTAGAGAGTGAAAAACAACTGGAGAAACTTAGGATATCATCTTTCCTCCTCTGCAGTAGGTAGGACTCAGAGGTCCCTTCCAACCACTAAGATTCTGTGATTCTGTGATTCTGTGACCGACCATCTTCACTGACCCATTATATGACAGCGCTACTGAAAAGTCTGTAATAGGAAGAGAATATTTCGTGTACATAAGGTTTTCAAAAGCAAATTGTATCAGAATGAAAAAACATTTTTTCAGGGCATTTGCAGGGTTGCATAAATGCAGTAGCAACTACTCAGATATTGCATCTATACTCAGCTGATGAGAAAAATTTATTTAGCAAAGCCATTAAAGCCTGATTAAAATTTGATGGGATGATAGGATAAGTGTGGGAAGTCCACTGAGGTCTGAATTGCTGCCAGTATTGATTAACACCCTTAACACGTCAGTGGGAATCCTATCAAAAGCGTATTTCAAATCTCAGCCGTGGGAATCTCAATATAGCCCTGGATAACAACCACCAGATCATTCAGATGGGTGGTTTATGTCCCTATATGACAAGAGAATCAAAGGAGATAATAGAAGGTTGCCAAAGGATTGGTTTGACTCACAGATGTACCTGGGGATTTACAAATGCTGAAAATACGAAGGCCAGATTCGTACCTGGTATAATTTCATCAACTTAGTTGAGTATTCCAAGGGTTAAATATGGCCCATAGTCTCTGTCCTGATCAGCTTAAATCAGACAAATATTTTGATATATTGGAAGATAACAGTTCATAAAGGAATACAGCTGGCATGGAAACTGATGCAGAAGTGGCTACAGAGAGACTTGAGAGAGAAGACTTTTGCTGACAGGGAAAATGTAGTTGTTCCAGCTGCAAGGCTGGCAATGGAACGATATAAAACCAAGCATGAGAAGAAACAGAGGAGAACAGATGCAGAAAAGGATTCAGAGAAATATACACAGGGAGAAGGAGGACAGAATAAAAATGCAACTGGTATGTTAGCAAGTCTGTCATTTCTTTAAAGGTGGAGATAAGAAGCTTGAACTTTTTATGTCAAGTCAGAAGCCCAAAGAATTTTGAAAGGAGGAGGGAGGGATTGAAAAAAGCATGAGATTGGTTTTGACTCAGGCATTTCAGCTACACTGGTAAGGCAAATGCTGAGATTTAGAAAGAGCAGGAAAAGGTTATGTTTTATGAAAAATCAGTCAAGCATGGTCTAGATTTGAAAGAGCACAAATTAAAATAGGAAGGAAGGAATGAATGCTTGTGATCCAAGGGGACAAAAGGTTAAGGGAGGTGTTGCAGATGACTGCAGTTTGTTGAAAGAATGGAGCTGTTAACAATGATAAGAAGGTAAAATCTAGAAATTTGGGGGGTTGTGTTTATTTGGTGCTTTGTTGGCGGGGAGGGGGGAGGAGAGGGATAGGGGGAACTTGGTTGGTTGTTTTGCAAAAGTCATAGGTGCTCTGTTCCAAATCCTAATTCTACAGCTAGCTAAAACAAAGTTATCCATACAGGGTAAGTGTGAAGAGTATTAACTGTTTGCAACTAGCTTAATGAATTTTGAGTCAATTGAACATTTAGAATTATTAAATAAAAAGCAAACCCCAAATCCTGTGTGGCTTCATTACATAAAACATTGGACAGAGTTCATGCTCTACATTCATGGGGAGACACTTACAGTATTTAAGAGTATTCTGTTTTGACTCTCTTTGCTTAATTGCTAGATGGAAAGTTTTTATTTTAAATATCTTTCACTAGCATGTTTTAGACTCTGAGAGGTTCCCCCTATTCTTGTGCTAGGGGCTTGTGATACGTCTATGTCATAGACCCACAACAGAATATGGCCTTTTGTAAAATGTCTGGTTATCACACTTGTATCTTGATCCCCAGCTAAGTGTCATCTGCAGAACTAACTGCCTACAGGTGGCTTTGATGAAGACAACAAAGGAAGGAGGTTGCTTATAGGTGTGACACAATTGCCTCTACTTTTGCTTGGGGAATTTGGAGACAGAAAGGCTCCAGAGCACTGACATAAAAGTGAGGGGAAAAGTTGCTATAAAAAATAGCTGGTTTTAAAGAAGTGTTATTGGATGTGCTTTGCTTGGATAAGTCTAAGAGACATTTGGCTGCTGATGGAAGCATGGCTCCATAAATGCAAAGGCTGCTGGGAAGTACAATGAGGCTGTAAGGTCTAGTTAATAAGGTGTGTATCTGAATTTTTGCGTTCTGACATGTCAGCTTAAAATAGTAGCTTGGAAATCTAACAATGTAACAACCATGCTTATCTTTTACTGTTTTCTTTCTGATTTTTGTCTTATTGTCTTATAACCCGACATAGCAGCATTGGTCAGTAACTGGTGAATGTTGCCTGTAATGCAGGTTTTCACATACTGCTGCATTTAGGATTTTCTTCCAATTGATTTTTATGAAAGGAGTTGAAGGAGTTTCAGGACACTGTCAGTTCTACAAATTGCAGAATCTATGTTGTCTGCCTTTTCTGTTTGCTAAGTTTATCTGTCTTTCTGTTTGTACCCAATAGGTTTTACTTAAATAATAGTAACTTTAGGATCTAATTTCTCCAGCTTCTTAATAGGCAAAAAGCTTTTTCAGTTTAGCAGCCTCTTGTGCACACTAGAAGACTTACCATTTTAAAAAATGTATAATTTCTTAAATAGCTCCGTAATATAGATTAGAGGCAGATCTTGGTCTAGTGTTGCTTCATCTCAGAAAATATGTTAATAACGTGAGAAGGGAATAACAGCAAACTCCTCCATATCTGAGGTTTTGGGGTTTGTTTGTTGTGAGGTTTTTGGTAATCTGAGTACTAATTCCCTATTTCTTTAAATGTTTATGTCCTGCCTAGCTAGATACAAGTCCAAAAAAATTGAATTGTGATGGAAATGCTGAAATACTTTGCTGATCAGGGATCAAGTTAAGCATATCAGTATAGTTCAGCCTGCTGCTTTGCTGAATCTAAGGAATTTACTGAACTTACTGTAAAGTTCTCCCATACAAAAATCATCTTGCTTAAAGAAATGTCCTGAATGCTGATCAGAACACTGCAACTTGTCTGTAGCCCAATGCTGAAGGTGTTGAAAGAGAAAATGGAAAGTTAACTTGCTTGCAGGGAAGAGTTGTTTGTTTTTGTTTGGCTGCTCCTGCTAACATAAAAGCCTGACACACTGAATAATCCATGAGAAGCTAAATGTCTTCCAGCTGAGGTCACAAAAACACTGCTGTAAGCGATCTCCTGTAAATGGTAGACAGGGCAGACCTAAACCAGGCAAAGCGCCCATAATCAGATTTCTGTACAGGTACTCACTTGGTCCCCACTGCCACAACTCAGGACAGTTCTGTGAGGTAGGAGATACAGGGACGTTAACTTTAATGTGGCAGATGGGAAACTGAGGCACACCAAGACTCATTGGATGAACAAGTGTGGTTAATAACATAACTCTTATTTACATGTTCAACTCCCATAGATTTCAGCAGGAGTTAAGCAGCTTAATGCATTCATGGGTCTGAGTTTAATGGGCTTGGTCAGCTAGGAAGACTTTGGAAATGCCACATGACCTCTGAATTTCAGCCCAAATCTCCTTCTTAATCTAGTGTTTGGAGAATATATGGTGTTAGGTGCAGAACAGACATGAAGTAAAGTCCCAAAATCTTTCCAGGTTGGTTTGTTTGGTTTTTTTTAAACAAACCCCTCCAAAAAAGCAAAGAAGTGAGGTAACAGCAGTACCTCATGCAGACAATCAAGGCTGAGGCTATAAAATGAGAGGGATTTTGTTTCCTGAGGCCATGGAATAAGATGAGGAGAGGATTTTTCTGTGCGTTGTTATTCCTGTATTAAAAAACAGTGCTTGGGGAAAGTGTTCTTAGTAACTGAGGATAAAAGACATTAGATGCTCTCAGTAGGAAGGTTGTGGAACATGTGGAAGAAAAGGGGGACAAACTGTACAATGAGAGATGGGATAGCTTGCAATGCTGACCGAGTTAAATACTTGAAAAACAAACTTGCAGCGGGCAGGTTGGCTGGATGGGTTACAAATGTATTTTAAATATGAGCTGTAGTTAATATCACTAGTATGAAATGAATGGAAAGTAGCTGCATTCTTTGACCTTGCATCTTTACTTGCAGAAGCATGATGGCCACTTCACAGTTATCCAGCTGGTTGGCATGCTGCGGGGAATTGCATCTGGCATGAAGTACCTCTCGGACATGGGCTACGTGCACCGTGATCTGGCAGCCCGTAATATCTTGGTCAACAGTAACCTCATGTGTAAAGTCTCTGATTTTGGTTTGTCACGAGTATTAGAGGACGACCCTGAAGCTGCTTACACAACAAGCGTAAGTTTGTCTTATCTAATTTGAACAGTTGATTGCCTCGTGCCTCTTTTATTCCAGTTTCAGATCTGTCTGTGCCATAGGATTAGTAGTTTGAATTGGCTTTGTTCCATTCTTAGTCCATGTGATTTAATAGTGCTGTGAATGTGCTTAAGGGAACCTATTTTAATTTTTGGCTATGTAAGGGATGTGCGTTAAACTTTGGCAATTTTTTTTAATTTTTTTTTTAAGCAAATGGTCAGGTGCAAGTAGGAGACCTTTTCCATTCTTGTTTGGGTTTTGTTTTGTTTCTCTTTTCCACATTGTTTCCCTTTCTGCTAACTTCTGTTTGTTCACAAAGATACGTTTTTAAAAAGGGGGATGGGGAAGGAGAGAATCTCGCCAATTCCACTTCCAATGAAGCATGGTGTCAAGACTTGCATTCATAAATTCAATTTTCCATTTTATTTTACTTAAGCTTACCTTCTAACAGGATATGTAGGACCTCTCCCTCAAGGTTTAACTCTCGTTAATACTTAAATTTCTTATGTGATGCAAATAAATTGTTATAGTGGAAAATGGGGTTTGGGTGGGTTTTTTGGTTGGTTGGTTTGTGGTGTTGGTGGGGGTCCCACTGAAGTGAAAAATTCTTGAATGTGGAGATGCTTGTTCAAATTTGACTTGGAAGAAGAAAGTTGTATATGCAATATGCAGAAAGTAGGGAAAGGAATGTGGTGATGCTAATAAAATTAAAGTTCAGATACAGGATTTTTTTCACTATACCAAAATGTTCAGTTATGTTCCTGTTATGATTATTACAACATTTAGAATCTTAGCTAATTATAAGCTGATTTCAAGTAACTTCTGTATCTATCACTGAAACTAAAATTATTTCAAAGTCAGGGTACATTCTCATTAGTACTCTCACAAGATGCACAGAATTTGTATGTTCCCATGACAGGGCACAGTGACAGAATTCTAATATAGATAATGAATTAGCACTAAATAATTTATTTTGACCTATTTCAACCTTTTTTCTATTTCACTTTAAAAAGTGATGCATGGTCAAAATGAGGAGCTCATCTAATTTAACTGTATCATAGTAAGTCTCTGGTGTATCTGTTGAATTCAGTATAGCTATTGTAATAGGATTACAGGACTTTTATATAAATTATATATAAATATTTAGTTTAAGCCTGAAATAGGGGTGTTCTGATAAATTGGCTGTAAATTCCACCTCTTACACAGTACTGCAAGTTGACTAGAGGAAAACAAGTCACTTTGCAAGGTTTTCTATCAGTATTAATATGCAAGCTGGGCAGGGGGGGAATAATGGGCTTTTTCCTTTATAGGGGAGCATTCCCTCATTTACTTCTCAAAACCTCTTTTGCTTCACACTGATTCTTAGTATGGAGCTTGAAAGGAAAAATAAACATTATTTCAGATTAACCAATTATCACATGTTGGCTGAGCCTTGCTAATTGTCCATGTGAGCGTGCTCAGCTGGCAGCAAATGCCCCCAGTGACAGGCAAGTTAGTTACATTGCTCAGCACTGATCATGGGCTAATCAGCTCAGCTGGTGGAAAGCACTGGAAATTGCCAAGCAGTCTCTCCCAGTTAGGTTCAGGAAAAAATACCAAATGATAATTTGAGGCTTTCGCTCTTATTTATCCTTTAAGTTCTTACTGGATACCAATACCAAACAATTAGAGTTTAGGCTTTTAGAGTAGTTAGCACCTGTCTTTTTTATCATAGCTAGTGCTGCTTTTAATCAGGAAATGCTATGTTGTTAAAAAAAAAAAAAAGGAATATTTCATGGCAATGTATCTGTGTTGAAGGATTTCTTGAAACATTGGACAGGGCCTTGATGAAATGCTCACTATTTTCCTATTGGTTCACCTAGCTGGTTAACGTTGAGAGCCTGTGATGCAGCTGTTGTAGGTGGAATAACTCAGAGCCATTGCTTCAGTCCTCCAAGGTTGCAACCACATGCTGTACTAGAAAATCACACTGAGCAGGTATCTATAGCATGTCCATCAGGATACTGCAAACAAAGAGGGTACATTACAGAAGCTGATGTGGCAGGACCTTGTGGCAGCCAGATGTTTAATGTGAATCAGCTTCAACCTTGAACTCCACAAAGAAGATCAAAAAGCTTTGAAACTCAGGTGGGGAAATGTGATGTGTCATTACAATATGAACTAGAAACTTTGTAAACAGGAAGAAAAGTCAGGCATAATAGAAAATAAAAACACTTTAAAACACTCGTTCCTTTAACCCGATTCCCCTCTGTTTTTACAAGTCTTCACATGCAGACTTCTAATCACTGTGGTTTAGTCTGCCACCTCTGGTCCTTGGGAAATGTTTTTCCCTCATCCCTGAGGGCTGACTGGCTGCTCCAGTCCCTGTTCCATGCCATAGTCATTCTGTACGATCTGGTGATAGCCAAGGTTTCTGTGGGATGCTCTTGCCTGTCGTATGCTCCATTCTCTGGGTCTTGCTCCCCTTGAGCAGGTCCAGCAGATGTTCTCTGTGGGCAGTCCAATAGTCCTGTCACTTTTTTAATGTCACAATTATGGCCAAAGGTGGGGGGGGGAAGAAAGAAATTTTTGTTACAGTGGCTGTGAAGGACTCAGTGAAGACTTTCACATTTAACCAGTTTTTCAGGTAACAAAAGAATAGAACCCCACACTGGATCTCATGTCTTCTCACAGCTTTTACTGACCATCAGTATGTCATTGACCTGCCTCCTCATCATGAACATCTTCCCAACAGCAGGCTGTATGTATTACAAGAGGATTTTATAGCATCTATTTAGTTCCATACTGTGCTTTTGCCATATGAAGGTTAAACCCTCAGTGCTTTCACAAAGGTTCTGGTGCTTTTAGAATTTGTGTTTCCTCTCCATAGGGATTTTTCTTGGTAACAGACCAATACCTGTAGCTACAAGAAATCCATAGAGTGTGTCTGCAAATAAATAGTATTATTTTTAGGCTCACATCTCCTAGTACACTGCTGTCTGTCAGTGCTCAGAGGAAACTGAGATTATTTTTTATCCCTCTTTCTGTCTTAGTCCTGGTGTCAGAAATAGAATTATACAATCAGTTGTTTTCTTTGGAAACAAGAGCTACAAGACAACCTAGGCCAATCAGAAGCTGAAAATTAGAAATTTTATATCAATACATCTGTGATGCTGTGGTCAATAGTGTGTGAATGTATTCCCAGACATAAAAATTGTAAATTGATGCAGAAGACAAATCAGATTTTATAAAGCTGTCATGCTCTGTGGCAAAACAGGTTGCATCCTCACAAAAACAGCCTGAAAGGCTCTCTTACCTTGGGAGTTTGCTACATCTGAGCAGGCACAGCCTTCAGTCAGGTGATCCGCATCTCTTGCTTTGTCTTCCTGTTGTCATCCAATGTACGTAAATCCTCTTTACTTGCTGGTTTAGAATGAATCTTGTATTCTTTCTGTTGGCACATGTTCCCACATGCAGGGCAAAAATCAGGAATTGAAGCCTAGGAAAAGCCATAACACTGATGGGGGTAAAATCTGGAAAGGAAACCTAGAAAATGGCTACATTCTGTGTTCACACTGAAACACAGCCTATGAAACTACATTCAACTAAGTAGTGATTGCAGAACTGACAAATGCCCTAAATAACACAGTCAAAGGTCATTATGCTTCCTAAGAATTTTGGACTGACACTACTGGTTGGAGAGCTTTTGAACACTTTAAACAGTACATGAAAAGATTGAAATCTCAGAAAATAGCTTTCTTCTGTGAAGGCTTTGGGGTTTTTTTGTCCCCTAGCCTATTGAGACAAAGAATGTAAATATGGTTTTGGTAAGAAGATTGGTAGAAAAGAAGAGTTTGGCCTCTACTATAGGGAATTCTAAAACTTACAGCTAAATACAGTTTTAGAATAGGAAGGAGGAATTAAGAGCTAGGAACATCTGACTGCAAATATTTGTTTCAGACTGATCAGGAAAAGATAGGAAAATGTGTACATATCAGAAGAGGATCTGTGGCACTCCTGCAAAAAGCACTAAACTAGTTTTTCTGTTAAAGGTGACACTTCAATATTCTGTGTTAAATTTGATTTTTAGTGAGACAAAAAGGCTACAAACTGAATTATATGATACATATCGAAACATGTTCTAGACTCTTTCTCTTATCAGTTGTGTTTCTGAATTCATCCTTAACATGGAATATTTTTTATTTCCATAATAATAGTTAGAGAATTGACTTACTGCATTGCATTTCCTGAATCATTTGATGAACTTTATGGGTCTGATTCTTCTCAAGCCAATTGGATGAAATACCCCATCCAGAGAGATTTCAGGCTTATTAGATTCATTAGAGGAGCAAAGCAGATTGATTGCCAGTAATCTATATCAATGCTGGCAAGTAGCAAAATTTTGTGGGGATCAGGATGAGACTTCATTATTTATTTTTTTTTACTTTGTTACATAATTTCCATACATTGAGACATTTTCCATTTTCTCTTGTTCATACAGAAATAAAGGGTTTGGAGAGAGAATTAATTTTCTAAAAAGTAAAACAAGATGTAAATGATTTTCTAGTGAACTGGGGGTGTCAACCAATAGCACTCTGGCTGTTCAGAAACTATGACAAGTTTATCACCTCAACATTCACTTTAAGATTCAATCATAGACAATGGAGTAAATTGATTATTAGCATTCAGAAAAAGAGAAAAAGAGACTGTGTACTGTAAAGGTTTGTATTAACCTCTTTTCTTGAAAACTAATTGGTGACATAAGGTTGAGCACAATTGTTGTCAACTAGTTCGGTCTGTAGGTAACATGGCAACAGCATGCTCTGTCATCACCAAACTGAGAGAAACTTAATGATAGGCAGGATGCATCATGACTGTGTTTGGTTCTTTGAAACCAGGCATCTAGTTTGGAATCCCACCAAGTTTTTCCCTTATTTGAAGGTTGTTTGGTTTTTTTACATTTGATCATACTAGAAACTGGCTGAAAAATGAGTGGGCTAATA